GCATAACTTACTAAAGAAAATTATAAGAAAAAATAAACTAATGATTTTAAATTGCAGATTATACTTATTCATACATCTTAATAAAATATTTAAACTGATAGATAAAATCGTGAAATCAATTTATCATGGACTTATATTTAAAAAAGAAATTCAAATATTAATAGTAAACTCTTCATCATAAATTTAGTCAAAGCAATTATAGAAAAATTCTAAATACTGATTCCATTATCAAAATAAAAATAAAAATATCAAAAACAAAATGGCAACTCATAAATGTCGTAATATTATGTCTGAATGTACAAAACTTACACCAAACAATGATATTTTTCCTCATGAAATTAAAATAATATTGGAAAACATTGTAAACTTAAAAAAAGTATCAATGATGCATCTGATAGTCGTCGTGTTATCAGGTGTTGCACATTGGTGTTTCAGAACAGTTTTAAATATTGATATGGATTGGAATATTCCACTCATATTTTTTGGAGTTATTATTGGATATCCTGGTATTAATATAGGAAAATTTTATTCAATTAATCATATTTTGAATGCTTTAGGATCAAACAAATCAACAGTAATTAGTTTGATCGAACGAGCAACTAGAGAGGTCAAGCAATATTTGAAAATGAAGATTGAAGATAGTCATGTGAACGGTTCAGTAACAATAGAAAGTTTATTACATGAACTAGAGAAAAAAAGATCCATTATTCAGTATGATTAATACATTAGTTATATTTTGCAAAAGTTTCTAATATCGATTTTTCTTGCTTAGCTACTAAGTTCAACAAAAATAATCCAAGATTTTCGAAGATTATTTTTAGAGCTTTCGGTGAATTCAATACTTTTGTATCTTCATTCAATCTTTATCGTGCAGATAAAACAGCATATCATCGATCTGTTTTAAATACATTATGGAACGGTCCAAGTTGTTACTTTAGACAATTAGTAAAAGGCGATGTTAAATGTGAAAATCCATGGTTATCTATTGTTGCAGCTGCACATCCTGGTGCCATTATAAATATCTTGAAAGAAGAAAATAATCAACTCGGTTCTGATGGATTATTTGCAAGGTAGAAGTTATTTTCAATAGATTTTACGTTTTGTTGTCTCATTCGTGCACAGATTTATATTCTCTGCATGTATGTCACCAGAAGATGTTCATAAACGCTGTAAACGAGATATGGACACAACATCAAATGAAGGTACTACACAATCATGCGCTTATCCAAGTCTAACACATATTATGTATTTTATTCATCTAATGCACCATACTGAAGTTTTAACATTAAAAATTTCTCAGCAAGCTAATGAAATTCTGATACGTACACATAATGAATACAACAATATGGTTATCGGTTTTCAAGGTTATCAAGATGTACTTTGTACTTTGTTTTCAAAAGCACGTGATCATTTATATTGTATTTGTGGTTTATTGCATCTACTACATCAAGCTTGTATTTATATTTTACAAGTACGAATGTTTCGACTTTTATATTTATATTCTACTTGATGTTCTAATAGATTCAACCACCATTACAATATCTAATATTCGATGATGCTGCAGCAGAATCGATTCAAAATATAGTAAAAGTAGAGAAAAGAAACATAGATGATTACCTTACTATTTCACCTGACATAGCAGAAACAACTGTTGAATTAATGAAGTTTTATGTAAATACTAAAAAGCTATTATACGGCTTTCCTTTGATAACTATACCACCATCAGAACAAATAAATATCGGTCCATCAATATCACAACATATAAATATCAATGAGCAAGATACTGAAACAAATAACTTTGCATCTAAGATTGCAAACAACGATAACCAAAGTGTTCTCAGTACTTATACCGCTTTCTCAACTTCATCGTCATCGACTTGTCCGTTCGATGGTTCAACTGCTGATGCAGTTATCACAAAAATACTCTTATACCAGGGGTGTACAATATCTAGTGCACGAGTAGCTCAGATTTTACGTGTAAGATTTCATAATTTATGATTTTTTAAGATTAAAAATTTTGATGACATTTCTAATGTTTTTGTTTAGCGTCCCAGAGTTACTAGTAAAAAAGTCAAAAAAAATTTTACATTCATGGAAAATTCTTCCTTAGGCAAGTACATCATTGAAAAACAAAGAAAGCATGGTAAACCACGTGCAGTATTTGTCAAAGACGATCTTCCTCCTGACAGAGAGTCAGATAAGTATAGAAACATGATGGTTGTGCTCGATGCACTGAACGTGACGGCTGAAGAATATACACAACATCTCGAGAATTTATCAGAAAACTCGGCTATTATAACAAATACCAATGATTTTCAAAGCATTAAAGAAGAATAAAGTTAACGGAATGCCTACAAAAGAGTTCACATAACTAATATTCATGTAGTAAAAACGAACGATATTTTTGTTTGTTTAATTGATCTTCATGCAAAGCTTTATTTTACTTGATTGAAAATAAAGACTTCTATAAAAGTATCACACATAAAAATTAGAATCACTTGCAAATAAAATTCTAATTTGTTCAAACGGAGTTTGTTACGTAATGCAGTATGCTACGTAAACTACTATAAACAATCAATCATGTAAGTAATTCAAGGACCAATTGATAGTGTTTGTTTAAAAAAAAAACGGTTGATATACAGCGATAGAGTCTTCTTAGTAATGAATATTTATATGTCTTCTGTTATTAGAGTTCGCACCTTTGATTCCTAATTAACTTTTCTGACGATGTAAAAGAAAATAACAAAACAAATTGATTCTGATATGTTCGAATTGTTTTTTTTGAACGAAAAGTCAATAATACAACGGATTTTTTTAAAAATAAATCTCAAAATTTTTGGAATATAACATCATTAACAATGTATTGTCCGGTTACAACTCAAAAAGGATCAAGGGCAATTTACTTTCGATAAAATTTTTATCGATTACAAAAAAGAAATAAAAATGATCCTGAAAGATGGGTGTGTACGAATCGTCATTGCTCTTCTTCTTTAATAACAAAAAATAAAACAATACAATTAGTAAGAGGTACACATAATCATGGAAATGTTAAACGATCATTATCTATCATTAAAATCGTGGATAAAATTCGTCAGGAAGTTTGTGATAGTCCATCAAAACCAATTACCCAAATTTATAACGACGCTATATCTACATATGTATGTAGAAATTCTTTTTTTTTTATTTCATATTATTATATGTTTAGAGATAGATCAACGGTACTGCCGAATTAGTACCAATATTCGATGTTCTGAGATCAACTTTGTACCGTGATCGAGCTACTGTGTTACTAAAACTTCCGATTGATTTAAACGATTTACTTTTACCTGATAAGTTTACCAAAAATCTTTATAATGAAACAATGTTGTTTTGTGATTAAAAACAACCGTCATGTGTTCTGGCATTTGCATCTTTAACTGCATTAAAACAACTTGGTATGTTTCTAGCTATCAAATGAACCTATTATTCTAATTTCAATTCTGAAAATTCGTTTGAAATTTAAATTAGGAATTTAATTTAAAGAATTTTTAAGAATCATAGGAATAATTATAAAATTCTGCTTTGCTATTTATCGGCACGGCCAAGCGTTACGGAATTTCATTTTTTCAACTTGTGAGATAAATATCTTCTCAATAACAAGAGAAATGCTTCTGAAATTTTGGACATACATAAAGGTAAACCAGCTCTGTGAGCACTAAAAATTTCATGGAGTTATCACAAGACATAGCGAAATTATTTGAAAAATATCGTTCGTTACGGAATTTCAAAAAATGGACAAAATTTTTAGAGATGACTCACATTTTAGCATTTTTATACGAAACTAAGCTACTCATAAATGAACGTTCTATATAAAAGATGTTCAGTTTTTCACATACTCTTAGAATATCATGTTGTTTTCGCCATAGGACAATCCCTTCGAATAAGCTAACTTAAAAGGCTGAGCGTTACGGAATTTCAAATGTTATGGA